ACAAAATAAATTATGCATTAACATTAAAAGTGTTAAGTAAAAAATTTAGGAAAAATAATTATTATCTATCTATTTAGAATTGTCAAGTGTTTGGAATAAACCTTAACAAATTCATTCATTTCCCACTTTTCAGAAATGTGTCAAAAATAACTTGTTAATAGTTTTAGACCTGCTCTCATTTTACTAAAGATGACGAACATTGTCATTTAAAATAAAATATCAAACAAAAACCTTTCAAGATATCTGCTACAAAAGCCAGTTGCAATATTTCTTCTAAAGAATTTACGCAATATGTACATAAGATAATTTCCAGAAAACTTTAAATTTTTAATAAAAACAACTTAATTAGTGAAGAATAATAAAATTCTTAGTGTTATAATTTACCCTCATGGACATTATACATACATGTCTGCTTATAATATGTTCTTCTACCGAAAATTACATTAACAAAAACCTTTTTGACTCAAGAGAAGAAAACTTAATCGATCCTTAAATAAATATGTGTGAAATTAAATTACTATTTTAATTAGCGATTGTTATTATCATTTAATTTGACACCATAGTACACTAAAATCTAAGCTCTTTCATTTTTGTAATTCATTATTATAAGTATTATATTGAATAATTGTAATTTAGTTAATAAATTCATCTGTGGTTTATATAAAATATCTAAAAGTCCCTAAAACGCCTCATTCTTTTATAATTTAAAGGAATCATTAATACTATAATAAAATATGAATAGTGGCAAAAAATAAGCAAATCAGATTATATACAATCGTGTTATAAGTATTGAATACCCTTTTCCTTTCATACCTTTTTATACATATATGTATAAGTAAAGAACCAATATTCAAATAAATTTCATATTATACATTGAATAGTCTTAAATTATTATTAGTCATCCATAACAAATAATTACATGTTCTTCTATTTGGATACAATATTCAAATAGACTTTTTCATTAAATATTACTTCCGTATGAATGCTACTCTAATGAACAAAAATAGAAGAAAAGTTATGCACACATGACTGACTTTTCACAACACGGAGTTTATACTCTCTTGATAAAAGGGGATGACATATTCAATTTAAATTTGAAGTTGAATCTTTTCTCTGTGTCTTTGAATTTATTATGTAACATAAAACTTAGTACTATTTACCTTCAATAAAAATCAAAAATTATGATTTTATTTGCATTATTGAAAATGTAAGTAATTTCATATCATTTTAGTATTATTGTTCTAAAATATTGCTCTTAATGTAATTGATGTAATCTGACCTTTAACTGAGATGCCTATTTTAATTATGGATTAATTTCAGAACACAAGTTTCTTATAAGCAGGATATAATTTCAATAGAAGGGATGCCTAAAACTTATCTAACACCATGGACTATTGACAGACACTTTCATCTCTTCTTCCCGTTATCGTGGTTTCTGTAAAAGAACCAAAACATCAGGATTATGCAGCTATAAAAATATATAAAACCTTTGTTTCGTTTAAATGAGTAAACGCAAAAATCTTAGATGTCTTTAAGAGTTCTCTAGATTATTTTTAAAAGTAAAAACGAAGACAACAGAATGAAACTTCAGAAATCTCGTGTTTCAGTTTAGTGGCAAATAAACTATTGTATTACCATGTCTTTGCAAATAATCTGAAGTCTGACGTAGCAAAATAGTAGTTTTTCAACCTTTTCTCTGATGAAATAGGAGTCCAGGGAGTGCAGGGATTGCGATTAACGGTACAGTTGGCTCTTCCCGTAACGGAATTTGGTCTTGCAACCCGCAGGACAAGTAGTGATGTTTTTCAAGAAAGAAAAGAATTCTGTGCCAAAAGAGGGCCGTGATAATGAGTATTAAATTAATTCTATTACAGTAAGTCAAAGATTAACACATATAATGAAAAGGTGTCTCCAACAATTTTTTTTTTGCATAAAACTTTCGTGATCTTTCAATCATCTAAAATCACAACAGTTAAAACAGTTCGGAGTACAAATTGATATAGTCCTGGCTGTATTCAAACATAGGATTAATTTCAGTGCGATCAGTATAAGACCTAGAGAGGAAAAGACATTGAATGTTTCACATCTATAAGATACTTCAATACAATTTACGAAAAATGTATAGTTATGGCAATTCTTAATAATAATCATTCAATCGTTCAGATAGCTCCAACAATAAGGTTGCGGTTTAACAGTGGACTTTTTTAATAAAGCTATTTTGTTACATTTATACATACATATTATTATGTATATTAATAATGATATATTTAGTATTGCTCATGATGTCTAATTTGGTTTTTACTTTTTTATATATTATATACAACTACTATAAAGAATATCGTAAACATACCTTTTACATTTCCAAATCTAAGAAACGAAATTTAGCAATTAAGTACTCTACGCAAATAATATATAATACATAGCTCTACAAAGATTTGGCTGATTGCCAATTCGAACAAGTCTCAGTCTCATGGGTGATTATAGTCTCCAAAGGACGGATAGAAACAAAAGTTGATATTATATTCATATTTAATGAGGCAAATATTAATGAGACAAATTATTGATCCAGTAACATTATTGTATGATTAAATACTAAATACATATATTATCATTGTTTTAAAAAATCAAAATAATTTAAAATCACTTTGCCTTTGTCATTAACTTATTTTATCAATAATCAAATATCTCACACACTTCGCGAAAGAGAACATTTTTAGTTCACTGTAATATTCTAGGCACTTAAATATTTAAGTTGATTTAAGCAACACTGCTATTAGTTACTGCTTATTTAAAACACTCCTAAATTTCACGTGAGAGTTATCGTTAATGGCCAAAAACTTTAATAAAATAATGTCACTGGATAATTCAATGTTGCACTCTGTCAATAATTCTGTTCAAGAGAGTACTCGAAAGATACGTTTCAATTAATACGAAGAGTCAGTGCAATCTACAAAATCAATGTTCATAATGTACCAGCACAACAAGAGAACAAACATTTTGGGCCAAGCTAAGGAAAATCGATGTGCACCAACTTCCTGTTATCGGCGGATGATAGGATTTATTGCAGTCACAAGTTGGACGTTGGGTTAGTTATTTGGTGCAGATAGCAGCTGCGTTTTACTTAAAAGTTTTTAGACGAAACATTACTGGTTTGAGGCACTTAAGATGTTCCTAAGGAATCAAATATGAACACTCCTTAATTGTTATTATTAATGAATCAAAATAATTATGAAATTCAAGTATACAAAACAAAACTAAAAGTATTTATATTTTATAAAAACGAAAACAAAAAATCCGTAGAAGAATGTCCACATATGTATATCAGCGTTTTTTCAATAAGTTGGAGAAGTTTAGTCTGAAAAAATTATGTTAAAAAAAATATTTTATTTACCCGTAACCATTTCATACTTATTATTACCAACGTTTTATCATAAAATACCTAAATGGAGTTCTATAATTATAAAATATTTTACTAACCTTTTAAATTTTTTAACTTTGATAATACAATTTATTAACATTAATATTACGTAAGGGATTTATTAAGTTAGCTGTGAGAGTATGTAGAATATTTCAACATAAATTTATGATGTGATCGAGTAGGGATCATCAAACAGATTGAAAACTTCAGTTTTTTAGCTTACATGAGTTATACTATCGTACTTTTTCTTTCCTATACATTGATATATTTTTAATAAATGTAAATAAAATTAACGTGTAACAATTAGCAAAAAAATATTTACGTACCTTGGGTAGTTATCAAAACTTTCAACAAAAACTTATTTCAATTTACGCATAAAACTCAATTTTTATAACTACAACATTTAATTCCTATATAATGGATCCGTTCGGATCTTTCAGCCATTAAATACAATCTCAAAGCTTCAAAAATTGGAAAACATCCAAATCGAACCATACTCAGTAGTCTTAAACATTCTTAAAAAGTACTAAAAGTGAATTGTGTCCTAAAATTCTATATATTGCCTAGCAACTTTAACATTACAGTTACATTAATACTGTTAAAACATACAATGTTAGTGGTTTTATTACTTTGTTTTCTCCACAAGTTAAAGTTCAGTCTTCGTTTGTTAAATTCTGTCTGATCTTTTGATATTTATTTTTCAAAGATGGGACTTGTATTTACAATTTATTTTTTCATCGATCTACAGCATTACAATCGGTTACTAAGTAGGGTCGGGGTGAAAAGCACTCTACTCAAAGGATAATATGGCGGCGCCAAAAGCTTACAGCAGCTGACAATGAAGCATTCATATTCTAGTAAGTGCTAAATGACTGTAGTTAATATTAATTCCGTACGCTAGTAAAAATATCGACCAAAAATTATAATCTGTTCTTGTGAATACTAAGGATTATCATATGCAGTCTCAAGAATTAATTTAAGATTTAAATTTGTTTAATAAATGTATTATATAACATTAAAATATATTTCGTCGAATTTTAAAATAAAAATAAAATAACTATTAAAACAATTTACATATGTATATAAACAATATATCGTCGATCGTACAAAATACTTTCTGTGAAATCTCGAGGCACACAGATACTTAAAGAAAATAGAAAGAGATAAGAAAGTTAAAGAAAGGAATGCTCACTTGGCCTTAACGCTTTCTTATTATTTGAAGATTTCTGTCAGTTCACTCTATTGTACACTGTTGTAACTAAGTTCCTTCCTAAAACGTCTTTAATAACAAATGATACTTAACGAAGCTTGTAAAAAGAGTTTAATGTGTCATATCACGAAATTCGTGACAACATTTGATTGTGTTTTGAAAAGAATAAGAAATTTTAAGGGTCTTTAAATATTGTGTATTAGTTAAAAGTACAAATTGCTTTTCCTTATTAGCAATCAATAAATTTTCACTAAACCTAATTTCTTGAAGGTTGGATAATTTGGAAATTAAATTTCCAAAAATACAGTAATCATTACGTCATTTAGTTTATTTTATTCATCGGCGTTATTTAGGGGAAGCAATAGTTTTGGGATGAGTCTAAAAAGGCCATCGGAGCTCTATAAACACCTAAGAGTTTCCAAGAGATATATCCTGGGGAAATCCCATGATGACATAGTGACATCGCTCCCAAAAGATGAAGATGCCCCCGAGCTAGAGTCACGACTTCAATTCCATAAGCAATTTATGATAGGAGCGCAAAGTAACAGAGCGGGGTTAGGATCAAATAGGAAAGTCCAAGATGCGGATATATTGAAGTCTTTTATTCGGCAAGACGAGAATGATAAATATAAGATCCATGCAATGAATTTAGAAATGCAGAACGAGTGGTTAGACATAGGAGATTTTTGCATCCCATTAGCATTAAAATGGCGCACTTTAATTTATGATTGGTCGCCAGCATTGCTAAAATTCTATCTCAATGCGTTCCAGATGACTCTCCCAGATCAGAGTAATTTAGTAAGATGGGGTAAAAGTACCGAAAAAACTTGCTATATCTGTGGAAAGGCAGTTGGAACTGCTAAGCATCTGCTGGTGGGATGTAAGGTACTCCTGGACAGCGGTCAATACTCGCGTCGTCACGATAGGGTTCTAGAAGTCATACGTGAAGCGGTTAGTCTTTCGGTAGCCAGAGCGCAAAAGGGAATAACCACAAACGAACGATCAGTAGGTTTTGTGAGAGAAGGCTCTAGGGCTACAAAATCAAACGTCAAGCCTTACTCCATCCTTAAAGCGGCGTCGGATTGGACTATAATGATGGACACGTATGAAAAACAATATAAAATCCCCGAGGATATTTGTGCGTCGGCCTCCAGACCGGATATATTTTTGTTTTCGCGAATTTTAAAGCGCGTAGTGATGATAGAGCTTACGGTCCCTTGGGAAACCAACATCCCCAAAGACCATACCATCAAGGTCAACAAATATTACGAGCTCACAAAACGAACTCACTCGAAATAGGTTCGTAGTAGATTTGTACGCGGTAGAGGTGGGAGCGAGAGGTATAACAGCGAAATCTCTCTATAACCTACTAAAGGACTTGGGCTTGTCCAGAACTCACATTAATGCATTCTTGGAACGTACATCGAAGGCAGCCCTAGTAGGTTCTTTTCAAATTTGGTTAGGTAGGGAGAGGAGCTTGGACAGTGGAGGTGAGCGTATAACGCGCGTTAGTTAAGGGGCCCCTTAAACCTACACTTGGGTCGCAAGTCCCAGGCACTGTTGAAGCTCCTCCCCCTGCAACGCGATGGACCCGGCACCCGCACGGTGAATCCATGGAATGCTGAGAAGTTTCGTCTTTTATCATGCTTAATTTTGTTCTTGATTTAAAAATACTCGTTCAAATTACCTTTGGAAATACATTCAATAGGAAAAATATCTTTTGTTAAAAGTTGGTTGGTCATCTGAATAGCAATCAAGTGTGAGCATTTGGATGTTCAGTCTGTCTGCAGTGCACTGGAATTGCATCGGATATTAAAATGGTGATCGCAATATTTGATTCACGCTACCAGAAGCACATAATTACTTTGTTTTATGTCTGTTATTTTGAATTTGCTACATAGTTTACTATATAGTTTATAATTAATTTACTCTGAAGGAATTAATGGCTTTTTAAACTTTTAATTTTATGAATCGTATACAATTATTAATTTGTATATAAAAAAATTAAAATATGACAAAATCATTTAATTTATACGTAAGGCAATCTATTTATAACCATACTTTTAATCTGAGCGGGACTTAATTTTTATTTTAACTATTTGAAGTTAAGCGTTTGTAATTTTTTTTTTAAATGGCAGCATTTTTACAGGCAGGGCTACTGTAAAGCGGGTATAAGCTAAATTTGTTATATTTTTACTACAACTCTTGAGTTAAATATTTTTTATTTCGTTGATATTATATTTAATATTAGATTTTAACGCATATTTTTTTATTCATACAAATTTACTCAAATCAAACCTTACAAATCTGTCCAATGTCAAACGGAATTGTGAATTATACTATGTATTTATCATCAAAATCAATCTGGGATTCATTGTGACAAACAAACTAACGAAATTATTGAGTTATTTGTACAAATGAAAATTATAAATTTTAAAATAAATTATTAAAATAATTCTACAGAAAGAATTAAATCTTCCATCTGTATTTTATCATCTGCATGTAAAAGATACTATTTTCGAAATGATTTATAAAATAGAAAACTTTTTCAAAACGTTTATAAAATCAAAAACGGAAAATATTACATAAAGCTTGAAAAGTTGTAAAAATCTTTTCAAAACAGGGTGAGGTTTTTATTGTACCTTTTTCCAGGTGTATCAAAAATTGTTGAGCTTATTATTAAATTCCTGACGATATATCGACGCAATGAAAACTCACACTTGTACATATACATATAACCAATTGCAATTATAATGTTTTTCTATTATACACAAATACATATAAAATGTTACTGTTATTTCACAATGTCCAAAACTAGACTACACAAGCCACATAGCATTACCCGCTTTAGAGCCATACAACTGCTTGGCCCTAAATTTGTCAGTGAATAGATGCCCCAGAATTTGTAATAAGTAAAGCCGAGACGAGTCTTTGAACTTCTTTGCTGCTAAAAGGTAAGATGAATAATAAAGCGGAATCAGCTTTTTTCTGTACTTACAAACCAGGAAATATTTTCATTAAAATTAGTTTTACGTACTAAATAACACACAACAAGTAACAAATAATATATGTACATGTATTCTTATAACAGTAATTTTTTAAGGATTAAATTATTTTATTAAATTATTCCTAATAATTTATATTTATTACAACTTCCAATTTATTGCAATTATGTAATCGTATTTTGTTGTTTAAAGTATTGGCGATGGAAACATTTCTTAATTAAAAGGTAGAAGCAGGTGCTCCAAATAAATATCGGTAATTCGCGGTCCGAAAAGTTTCTATTCTATAAAATAATTTGATACATAACAAATATATATGAATTTTACCTTTTAAGGTATAAAATTTTAATATTTCTGGGCTTATTTAAGCTTAATTGTACGAACCACTTCGTATGTTGTGAATAATTGGTTTTTACGTTTTTAATAAACCAGTAACTTTTAGCTGGATTGGAAATTTATTTATTAGTTTCTAAGGTAAGCATGGATATAGGTTTAAGTAGATATAAAATCAGACAAATAAACTAATAATAAAAACAGTGTGTACTTCTATAGCTTCTTTATTTCGGAAATCAATTATACAGTTATATTGAAAATTGTTCAATGCATGGTACAAACCATGTTATTATGGAAAGACATAAAAAATAAAAAGATTTAGTTCTGAACAACACGACCTTTAACATTGTTTTGCAAATATCTATATAATCTAAACACTAACTTGTATAGTTTTGAGATAGAAAAAGTTCCAGTTCAATTCAACATCGCAAGTTTTTGATTAATTAAAAAGATTTTATCTACCGTGAGTTAAAACTTTATTAATTTTCTGATCACATGAGTACATACAAATGATTTTTCCAAAACTCTTCTAAAAATGTTTCTTATGTTTCTAAATCCTAAATTAATTAACTTTCAGGTAAAGATTTATAACTTAAAATAAAATAATTCCAAGAAGGTAAACGATTTCTTCCCTCTTTAAATAGCTGTTGTATAACATTTTGTTAAATTTGATACCTAGCTTCTTGCAATATACCTTATTTTAATTTCTGGTTCGTAACAATATCACCTAACCTACAAGCTATAGCAATCTGCTATACCTATAGTGTCTCATCACAATAAATAAATTTCTAGACTGCTTTTTGGCTTGAAAAAAGCTTTGTATAAAAAAGTGCAAGTTCTTGAATTAATACTAGCAATCCAAGCTACATTTGGCGTAGCTCCAAATAAAAATAGTAGCTACCATCTATAGTCGAGGTGTTGGTTCACTCATAGTCATTATGTTAGATTCATTATAATTTAGGTATAACAAATTAATTTAACGAAAACAATTTACCAGTATTATAAAAAATATGTATAAGGTAATTGGGATTATCCTTTAACCGCTTTAAACATGTTAAATAAAAAAACAACATACACGCACTCATATTTATAGGATCAAATTAATTTTAAAACCATTTATTGATTCTATCAAATGAAGTGCCCATTTTTAAATGCCATTCAATGAAATTTAATTTTTTTTATTGTCTTTTCTATATGTTCAAAAGACTTCTTTTCATCACAATTTAAATCTGAATATTTACTTCTTTTTGTAATAATTCTGAATATATTTAGAAACGTTAACGATTTATAAAGTTTAACTCTCCTAAGAGAAATCAAGTAATGGGATACTTTTCGCTGGCATGAAGTACATACACTTGGTATAATATTTAAAAACTGAAATAACAAAATGGTAATCATTATGCTGATTGCAATAACAGATAGAAAATTAAATTCTGTTCCACTATCATGTTTTACAGAACACAGTTTTGTTTTGAAACATCTATAATTTCGATTTTAAAAACTAGGTCTCTACAGAACACTCTTAAAGGTAAAGTTTAATAGGCTTTATATCAGTTGTTTTTCACTAACAAAATAATTATTTTAACTACATGAACCATTTACGATTAATGTTTCATAAAACATTGTTTAACTTCGTTGTAAAATTCTGTTTGACTTCGTTTTTGTTAATATCACATACAATAAAGTATACATTTCGATACTGAAAGTACGGCTTAAAAAGAAAACCGAACTTTGAAACCAGTCGACCTATGTAATAGAATAGTAAACTTAAGTCATTAAAACTACTTTTCCAGTTCTCACCTGAAACTCGATAGCAAAACAAAAAAAATATTTTGTGCTGTTATTTTGTAAACTAACTTTAAAAATATGTTACCTTTCGAACCATTTGTCTCACAAAATTTATGTAAGTAGGTGCAAATGTGTACTTTCGTCGCTCTTTAAAAATGGAATATTTTTAAACAGCTTAAAACCCAATATTGAACATTATGATCTTAGCTCCTAAGTGTATATGTATATGTAGGTATTGTTTACAATTCACTGTAATATTCGTCGTTATCTAAAAAAATATTACGATATTTTAGTTAAATAGACAATCATTACAGTTTTAAGACAACAATTTATTCAGTTTCGCATATTTAAGAATGTGTCCGTACACAAGTAAAGAAATCTTGAAAAACAATAGCACCACAAACGTGTGTCACACTTTCGGTGTGTGTCCCAAGGTCTCTTCTCACATGGAGAAGGTTTGAGCATTAATCAACAAACGCTTGCTCAAGACGGGTTGGTGTTGAGTTGTTTAAATCAAATTAATTTAATCACGGCTTACCTTTATTTTGGGTATATATGACCAGATCAATCTCGCTCATGGATCATCTTGATCATCATTTAATTGGAACACACCGTTACTATGTAAAAAATCAATAATATAAATAGAAGTTAATTGATAATTGAATTTTAATTAAATATGTGGTATACAATATTTGCGGTAATACAAATTAATGGCTATTAATTTGAGTAAAGCTGGTTTCAATATTCTATATAAAGATGCCTACATCATAATATACGTATTATACATTAGTAAACTTTAAAATATAGTACTATTGAAAATTTTCACCTGGCAATAAATAAAATATGCCGTAGGGGAACATTCTTTTGGAGATTTGGCTTATTGCCAATACGAAAAGTAATTTTAGCTCAGCGAGGTCCTTTGTGACCACTAAGGAAACAGAATAGATGACCATTGCAACGACACAAATTAAACCACAAATAGAGATGGAACTGCATTGAACCAGCTACTAAATTTAAATTGCAGTGATAACTTTTGAAATAAAAATAAAGATAATAAAACATTTAGAAGAACTCTGTTGATTTTTTAATTGTTAAGTCGATATTTCAATTAAAAAAAAATAACAAGACTTTAAATTCTTGTATGTAAGTTTGTTTGATTAGAAGTTTTGTGCAACT